ATGGCTTCCTGGGGCTAGGTGGTGGTTCATGAGTAAGAATCTTTGTGACAGGGAAATGTGTGCAAGAACCAGGACCAGAAAACCTCTCCAGTACCAGTTCCAGCAGCTGCCCTTCTGCTTCCCAAAGCTTTGAGTGTCCTTTGCATTGGCCTCACTTGACACAGTGCTTTTCCTGGTAGCTGACTCTGACCTGTTGGTCCGCTCCACCAAATGCTTTTTGTCACCTATTGGAGCGCCTCGGGTACCACTCTCCCTGCATTCCTCTCACAGACGCATCTCCTCAGCTCTTTGCAGTCCTTGGAGTAAGCCTTTCCATTGAAGATGGTCATACAGTCCCTGTTTCTTAGGTTGGTGGGATCAATTATAATCTCAAACCTTAAGAAAGAAAGAAAAAGGAAGGAATTTAATTTAATCAGGGTTTATTTCTTAAATGGCATAGTAAGAATCAACAAAAAGCATTTTTCATGTGACAAAGATCATAATCTAGGATGTCTTTGCTGAGGAGATGAGGCCAGTGCACTCCGCTTTCAGCCCCTCAGTTTCCACCTAGTTCTTAGAATCCACAGACCTTTCAAAACAACAAAAACTGTTCTTAAAGCAGATACACACTCTGATTTTACTGCTAATTTGAAGTTATCTATCTTTTCTAGTGTTCAGTTTCCTTAATTAAAAATAAAAGAGGGTTACATTACTATGTCCTGTTCTTTCATAGAGAGAAAATCTGCTCTGACAGAGCTTTAAATGTAATAAACTTTCATTAAAAAATTAGATTTATCCCTGTCATAGAATTTCATGCAAACTGTATCTGAGTGTTTCTATAGTAAATAAGATTTTTTTTTCTTTCTTTTTTTTTTTTTTTTTTTTTTTTTTTTAATTTACGTTATACAGCCAGAAAATCTCTGAGGCCACAGCCTACCCATGGCTATTGATGGACTGTAGGACCTTGGTTGAACATTATTACATCTGAGCCTCCTAGGCTTCTCTTTAATTACTTGCCCAAAGGAGATCTTCTCCCCCTTTTCTTCTCTCTCTCCTTATTACTTTGTCTCCCAGAAAAATGACTGCCAGACACTCACTGCTGGAATCAGCCAGCAAAACATCTGCTGATTACTTGATTACCCTTTTTGTCTGTCTCTCCCACCACTTTTTCTAAACCATTTCACCACAAGCACCTCTGGACACCCTCTGGCAAGCACACTCTCCCGTACAAACCAGATGCTCCCTAATTACTGCCGAACCACACCGCAAATCTGTCTTTATCAAATGCCTCTCCCACAGAATGTTCTGAGGGCTTACAGTTCAAAGGAGTAAGGTGTCCCATCGGTCCACAGCCAGGCTTTGCCACTGCCGTTGCGGGAGAGCCCTGTCCAATAAGAGTAGAAAAACTCAGAGTAGCTCTGAGGCATGGCAAAATCCTGTGAAAGGCACACAAGAAAACCTTTAGCCTTGAGATGCTTCAGTGAAGAGTACAGGATCATGTCGGGGTCAGAACAGTTTCTAACAGACTCAAGAGGGAAAGGCATTTGCCATGAAGCCTTTTGGAACTTTGTCCAGTAAGTCTGGGACACACACACACTTTGTCTTAATAAGTACGGAATACACACATATATTATGAAAACAAGCATTGTATCAACCAAAATTTATACTTGATACATTATTGCTAAGGTATAATATTAGACACAAAATTAATATAAAATATGAGAGAAACCGAAAATGGTGGTGCACGCCTTTGATCTCAGCATCCCGGAAGAGAGGTAGGTGACTTTCGTGAGTTTTAGGCCTGCCTGCTCTACATAGCTCACTCCAAGGTAGCCAGGAATACATAGTGAGACCATGTCTCAAAACACAAATGAAGAAGAGAGAGACAGAGATAAACAGACACAGAGAGACAGAGAGAGTGAGACAGAAAAGTGAAAATAATGGGTAGCTTGAGATATGTCTCAGTTAGTGGTTAGATATGTCTCAGCTTGTGCTGTGTTTTGAGTTCAATCCCTTTCTCCAAAAAGTAATTTATTTTAATTAATTAATTAATTAATTAAACATGAAAGGTTATTGCTGTTATACTCTTAGTTAATGAATTAAAACAAAACAAAAAAGTGGAAGAAGGATTTACAAAATAAAGTGAAATTATTCTGAAAAAAGGAAAAATTTGGAAGTACAAAAATGGAGAAGTAATAGCTGTAAATATCAGGAAAAGAAACTCTGAATGAGAACACGATTATGGAGTAAAGAAAAAGAGAAGAGGATTAAGAAGGATGACAGGAATCTCACACTAGGCAGAAAAGAAAAATTTAACTTTTGTGTATATCTATGTGTTTCTTACATACACATACAGTCATATACTAATATATGAAAATTCCTTTTCTAATATTCAGCTTTAAAAACAAGCATTGTATTCTTTTCCTCATATGTGACTGCTAGCTTTGAGGTTTTATGTATGTGTGTTTAAATTGGGGTACTCATAGAAGGCAAGAAACTAGTAAGAAGCCATGTGGAGATTTCAAGAAACTAGAAACGGGATGCAGGTGGTATGAAGGCAAGAAAAGGAATGGAACAGGAAAAGAGAAAACTTGCAGGTTATTACAATTATTTGACGGGGGGCTGGAGAGATGGCTCAGAGGCTAAGATCACTGTCTGCTCTTCTAAAAGTCCTGAGTTCAATTCCCAGCAACCACATGGTGGCTAACAATTATTTGACAGAATGCTTTTTCTTTTTTCTTTTTTAACTCTTTATTGGTTCTTTGTGAATTTCACATCATGAACCTCAACCCCACTCATCTCTCCTTCCCCTCATAACAACCCTCCACCCTTGCAACCTCTGTAACAGAGGGAAAAAAAAATCTTATTGTGGAAGCTGTATTGTGTCACAGTGTGTCCCACAATATACCCTTTTATCCAGTTTTCTTTTTTTTTTTTTTTTAACTTTCAAACGTTCATTGCAATGACTCTTTAGCCAGGTACTAGGCTTCAGGGCTTCTGCTGCTCTGTTGATACTGGAATCTCACTGGGACTCCTCTCAGATATCTGATAGCAGATATCTCAGGGATCTGTGGGACTGGCCCCTTGCTGCACTCCCGCAGTTCACCAATGGGGTAGATACTGGGGTGGGCCAATTCAAAGCCCTAGATCTGGGCCTAGAGGTACCTGAACTGGTCAACCTGCTGGCTCTCCCACGCTCATGCCTTTGGCGCTGGCTCCCCAGCAACCCCTGAAACCAGAGCCAGCTCTACCTTGCTGCCCAGGTGAGGTGCAACTCTTATGACCCTTGGACCAGATTTCCTGCCTGCCTTAGATGGTGAAAGATAGGGCAGGGGAGAAGAGTATCTCTCTCTCTCTCTCATTAGAGCCACTGCCCAGCAGACAAGAGGAAGGGCCTGCTCTCCTGCACTCACGCCCTCAGGGCCTCCTTGCCTTCAATCCCCACATGCTGAGCCAGCTCTACTGTGCTGCCCTGTGAGGTACAGGGTCTGCTCTCCAAAGTATTGCAGCTAGCTTGGGAAGAGATAGTCTCCAAATCTCATGCCCACAGGGCCCTCTCTCCAAGGATGCTCAGGTGAGGGGGTGAGCCAGTTCTCCACAGCCCTCAGACATCAACTGGCCTTTGGTGATGACAGACCTCAGCTGCTTCAGGATCCTATATCCAGAAGTGGCCCCTGGTGGCAGTACAGGTCAGGCCCCCGCCATAATCCCAGGTGTTTCTCTCTTCCCCCAAGTCTCCAGTTGGGTCTCTTCACTGTGCCCCCATCCTTCTGTTTCTCTTTCTCTTCCATTTCTCCACCTCTTACCTGCCCCTTTTAGAGGAGCCCAAGGTTTCTGAGTGTCTGGAGTCATCTCAAAAATGGTTTCAGGAGAGCTATGCCCCACTTTTGTATTATGGCCCCAAGCAGGGGTCTTTTCAGGAATGGTCTCCTTCTGCCTCCCCAGTCCTGTCCAACACCCTACTGGAGGTGGCCTCAGGCTAGCTCCCTGTCCAAGCCCCTGGTGCCAGATGGTGGTCATCTGAGGCTTGCCTTTTTTTTTCTTTTTTCTTTTTTTCTTATCTTAAGTGTTAGGCTACTAATCATGCAGATGTTCATAGGTATATGAACTGAGTATAGACTTAGCCCCGCTCCTCTCTGCCACCTGCAGTCCCACAAGTGACACAGCGGCCACACCTGCAACACTTCTAGGGACAGGGATGGAATGTTTTCAGCTCAAAGCTTTTTAACATTCATAATGGAAAGACAGGCTGTGCTATTAGTGCTTTTCTGAGACTGCACCAACATTATTCTCTTTCCACCCTTTCCAAAACAGGTAACTTAGGACATTTTTTGTTTGTTTATCTGCCCATTGACTGAGGGATAGTTGAGCCATTTCTCATCTTTATATGTAGTATTTGGGGGAGCACACAGCTTGTACCCACTTCAGGGATCATTTGGATCAGTAGGAGTAAGGACTGGGTTCCGCCATGAGCGAACGTGGAAATCTGTGAGTCAGAACTTGACTTCTTACAATGTTCTTGCCCTGTTCTTTTGGGGAACCGCTTCAGACACTGAGGCTCTGGAACTCACCAGCTCTTCCTGAGTGCTTATCTTCAGCATGGTGGCGTTGTCAGCCAGGCAGAAATATTCACAGCCCTGCCAGTTTTTACTCTCTCTATAGAACTGGTAGCATTTGTCCCCATGCCACTTCCATTTTTCCAGGCAAGGACTGCATCTGTGTCCTTGGAGGGAGAAAAAAAAAAAAAAAAGCAAACAAACTTTGGTTATTTATCTTCTACATGGATCTGCTGTTTCCTCTTTTGGAAATAAACAGTGTTTGATATTCCAAGAAGTGACTTGTGTGTCTCTTAGATATTTGAGTGAGCACCTGTGCCATCTGCCCACTCCACACCAGGGATACCCATAATTGGTGTTGAGCATTCGGTGAGGATTAAAACAGAGAGTGCACATATGGAGTATTGGATTTGGTGCTGAGCAACTGAAACTTCTTGGCTTATGCCATGTTGAATGTGGATAGAATATCCCTTCATGAGGTGGCTGGTATGACTGTGCTGTGGTTTGAACGCAACGTTCCTCCCACAGGCTGATAAGCATCGGGAACATCGTTTTGAGCTGGTGAGCTTTGGGGAAGTGATTGGATCCTGAATGATTTGATATCATCGACGGACTGATCTCCTTGTTTGGCTCCAAATATGATGGCTTTAGTGGGAGGCAATGAAAATAGGGGCTAAGTGAGAAGTCATTCATTGGGACATGTTGTTGGGGTATAGCACCCTTTGTTTATGTCTTTTTTTTCTGTTTCAGGTATGACACGATGTAAGCTGTCCCACTGTGCCCTTCACTGCCACCATGGGCTGAAATGTCTGAAGCTGGAAGCTAAGCTAGACTCTCCCCGTTCTCAAGATATTTGTCAAGTAGTCTCAGGCATAGGTCTCTTTTACTTGTCCTGAGCAAGTGTTTGTGTGTGGGTGTGTTAGAGCGGGCATTTGATAATATCCATGGTTGCATCACTGTTTTATTCTGGAGGGGATGGAGATGTGAGCACTGTTTACTCTACATTTAGGCTTCATACTGCTTAGGCTACTGTGACATATTCCATGCTTTCTGTTAACCTTTTGTTTTGAGACAGGGACTTATAAAGTGACTCAGCCTGAGGAAAAAAAAAAATTCCCCCAGGATATAGCACATACACGGATGTGATATGTGCAAGCATGTAAACATGGATGTGTTTCAGGGGAAACACATGTGTTTCATCAGCCAGATGAGTATATGTCATGAGAATGAACTGCTTACAGATATTTTGCTCATTTGACCTGTAGAACTAGTGAAACAATGGCCACAGAGTTCTCAAGCTGAACATGCATGTTCCGTTTGAGCTTGTCCTTCAAAGTCCCTGTAGAAGGCTCCATGTGACCATAGCTACAAAATGGTAAATGCCAAAAAAAAAAAAAAAAAGTTCAGCAAGGCTACACTCTAAGGTAGGTGAATCAGTTCTATGGTGCATGGAAAGTACATCATCCAAAATTATGTGGTCATTTTCTATTTCTTTATGTTCACTAGACTTTGCACATATAGGATATTAGTGAGTTTATATCTGTGACCCAGACTTTCTTTCTTGCATACTGTACTTCTCACACAGCATTAATTCCTAGTTCCCAACTTCTAAATATCACCTTATATTTGAATTGAATGTGGCTTATTTTTTTGTTTTTGTTTTTGTTTGTTTGTTTTAGACAGCTAGATGAGAATCCTGGAATTTTTTTTTTTTTGATGGTTTAGAATCCTACAAAGAAAAAAAATAAAAGTCCACTGGGCTGTTGGAGAAACAAGAAAAGAGAGAATTATAGTAAATGAAGTTACTAGTCTTGTGGAAAACAGCACTTAGAGAAGTGTGCCTTGAGACACTGTTTACTGAGAAAAATCACTCATTCGTCTGCTTGCAGGGGAAGTGGTGGGAGAAGGGATAATGATGCAACTGTGGTATCTCAGTTTCCAAAGGAGAAACCGACAGGGACTGCAAAATGTAGGTGGCTCCTTCTGCTTGTGTGGTGGAATGGGCAGAGCTGACTTAGACACATCGTGTAACACGATGAAGATTCAGACCGTTGACAGAAAAACAAGTCACCGTGAACTAAAACGACCATGGTTTATTTCAAGTTCCCTGAATTTTTAAATCATTCCTGCATGAGTCTAAAAATATGAAGACTGTAATCATAGCTTTCATGTGCTGGTTTAGTATGCCAACATAGCTGAGGCGCATCCCTGCGTTTAGCACCTGACGGTGCCGTTTCGGTTGCTCTAAGTGAACTGCCTTTCTTGCTTTCAATGCTCACACTTGAAGAATCCCTTCCTGTGCATGACGCAGACGCGTATAAGCAATTATAACCCAATGTCTGATCATGAGTATGTGGCTCAAACTGTTTTTTTGAGATGGCAGGAAAAGTACTTCTAAAACATACATGGTTCTAGTCACCCCGGTGGAAACTTCAGATTTAGACAGAAAAAATTCCAGGGCCTACAGTGACGGACATGCTCACCTCCGCTTTTGTTGTAAAGTTCACGACACAGTTTTACAGCTACCTGCTGAAGAGTTTCGATGAGCTTCCTGTTCTGGCCCTGGAGAGACTGTAGTTGTCGGGAGATGTTCGCCAGCCTTTCATCCTTTTCAGTGATGCTGTCTTGCTGGTTATTGGAGAGCTGGTAGAACTGAAAAACTAAGTCAAGTGACCAAGTCAGACTCCTCTCATGATGCTTATATGCCTGTTTCTATTTTCTTCACTTGGGGAGACAATGAAGCACACAGTTTAACAGCTTAGCATGGAGAGCTCACATTGTCATGTCTAGTGGCATAGTTAATTGCATAATCTCGGGCAAATTTGGATGTTCACCTCTGTGTGAAAAACGTGAAGTCATAATAGTGGTTCTTAATTTCAGATGTTAAGAACCCAATCCCAAACTCTCTTCCTGCTCAACATTTCATGCACAGCCAAACCTAAAACCAATCTAAAACTATAAATCTGCTTATCTATTGATTATTTATTGTATTGCACACCAGAAAGATGACCTATGCTACTGTTCATTCCATTATTAAAACGTTCAGATGTCATTTCTGTATTTCTGAAGATTTGCAGATAGGGTCTACGAGAAAAACCAACTTCTCTAGTGTCACCCAACTAAGCACATTTCAACACAGGTTTGAACTTCAGTTTTCTAAATCACAAGAAGTGAATCACGAGTCATGAGAGTTACTTATGTTCCAAAAAAAAGCAGCTGATTACAAAACAATGCTGTATCAAGACTATGTAAGTTCTGGAGTAGAAAGGAATAACAGGATTTCCTTTTACTTTTTAAATTGAAATTCATAAGTTTACCTCTGACTTCAGACAAAATCAAATCCTGACCTATGATCTGCTTTACTGTGTGGCTTTTGGCTGGTGTCACCATCAGCAATTCAGAAAGGGGCTGTGAATTCTTACCCTCATGAAGCAAATTACCCTGAGCCCATCAAGGAACTTACCATTGCTGCTTTGAAATATAAAGGTATTACACCTGCAATCTTTATTGTTTGATTTTCACACCTTTTTTTTTTTCAAAATTACTGTATCATTTCTCAGCCTCTTTGACAAATGTGATTTAGCACTCCTATGCTCCTTGTGTAGAAGGTGGATGTATGCAGAAACCACTTTCCCCTGAACCATTCATGCTCTCTCAAGCGGTGATTTACATACTGACGTGTAGACAAATGAAATATGTATCTTAAACAGAATGTGTTCTCCTCACTGAAAATGCTTGCTGTATTCCATTACATCAACTCCTAGCCAATTAAACAGTTGCCTTTAGAAAAAGGACAAGGCTCCAGAATTAAGGTTTGAATAAACTCAGAGCAAGTCTCCTCCTGGACAAATGGAGGAACTGGGAACTCCTGCCTCCCCCGACAGGGTAGAGTGCAGACTTACACACTAGGCCCAGGGCTGCCAGGCCGATGAGCAGCACCAAACACAAGGTCAGGAGCGTCAGGGCCACTGGGCGCCAGACTGAAGACGGTGTTCCGTTCTCTGCAGGGAACAAAGAGAAAGTAAGGGTGGTCTTTTCTTTCTCTTGGGTTAAAATAATCTGTCATCAGACGCAGAGGCAGGAGTACCTTCTAGATGCAAAATGAAGGCAGTCAAGACTTTACCTTCTGTCCTCAGAATCTTGGCCGTAAAACCCATGTAAGTCTCACTCTTACATCTAGTTCATTCACAAGCGCCACCATTTCTGTCCTCTCCCTGAGGCCTACATTATGCATTAGCATGACAGTTAAAAGCTTGTTTTATAACCTTATGCTTTGTCAAAATTTTGACTGTGGAGGCCACGTGTGGTGACGCACACCTTTCATCCTAGCAATAGGAAGGCAAAGGAAGGCAGTTTTCTAAGGGTTGGATGCCAGTCTGGTCTATGTAGCAAGTTCCAGGCCAGCTAGGGCTGTATTGTGGGTAGAGATAGGGGGATCAGGAGTTCAAGTTCATCTTTAACTACATTATAGAATTAGAGACCAACCAGTATTGACACAAAGAAAGAAACAAGAACCCTAAAGCCAAGAATCCCAAACCCTTACCAAGGGGTAACCTGTTACATCATCAGGAAAAACATGCAATTAATTGTTTTTTAATGTTCCCTGCCCCCAGTGCTCCACCTATGTGTCTTTAGGAAAACAAATGACATGTTTATCATTAGAAATGATGCTTTTACTCTTTGTTTTTAAAGTTTCTTACATAAAAGTTATCATTTGTAAGAATGTTACATATTCATTTACTAGATTTATATCGTCTCCAAACTAAGTCATGAAAGAACAAGGCCATCAGTTTCTCAGAGATGGGTGTGCCTATATCAAGCTTCACACCAGTCAAATAATAAACTAAGACAGAGAAAGAAACACTAGGGACAGTATCTTGACTTTGTTCCCATGGTTTGACCTGTTACAGCAGAGTAGCCACTGTGTCACAAAAAGACCTGTCATCCAGTGAGATCATCTATTTCAGTTATAACCAAACAGACAGAGTTGAACTCTCCTCCAGTGCAGATAACATCTAGAGTCTATGAGCAGAATAGAACAAAAGCAGAGTGGAACCTGTAAACTATTGTCTCCATTTAATTGAGAAGTCAAGTCAGATTCTGAAACAGAAAGAACAAATGTGTACAAGTTCACTTTCAACTGGAAACTGGTTTTATGGAATTGGTCAGGCTGTCTTCATTCTGTCTTCCAAGTCCACCTAACGCCAAATCTTATCCCTGACTCTGTAGCAGATCACCAATTATGGTGCCTCCTTCCTTGGTCCCTACATATTGACCTTCACATATCGATAGTGGGAAACTTTAATACCCCACTTTCACCAATAGACAGGTCATCCAGACAAAACTAAATTTAAAAAAAAAAAATGCCAATGCTAAATGATGTCATAGACAAAATCGACCTAACAGATACTTACTGAACATTTCACTCAATTGCAAAATAACATAGCTCCTTCTCAGTAGCTCATGGAACTTCCTCCAAAACTGACCACATATTGGACACAAAGAAAGTCTCAGCAGATGTAAGAAAGCTGAGATAACACTATGCATCCTATCTGACTACCGTGGATTAAAGCTAGATATCAATAGCAACAGAAAGCTTACAAACTTATGGAAACCGAACAACTCACTACTGAATGAAAAATGTATCAAGACATAAATTAAGAAAGAAATGTAAAACATTTTAGAATTGATTGAAAGTGAAACACAGCATACTCAAACTTATGGGAAATAATAAGGATGGTTCTAAGAGGCAAGCTGTAGCATGGAGTGTCCACATTTAAAAAAAAAAAATAGTTGGAGATATCTCCAATCAGCAACTTTGTAACACCTGAAAGTTCTAGAGCAATAAGAAATAACACCCAAAAGAAGTAGATGACAAGAAATAATTAAACTCAGAGATAAAAATCAATGAAATAGAAACAGAAAAAATTTAAAAATCAATGAAATGAAGAGTCATTTTTTGAGAAAAATCAGTAAGACTGACAAACTGTTACCTAAATTAACTAAAAGGTAATGGAGAAAAGATCAAAATAACAAAAGTAGAAACAGAGTGGGGACACACCAGTGAAATCTAGAGAATCATAAAGACATACTTTAACAACCTGTACCTCACCGAATTTGAAAATCTAAAAGAAGTATATATATGTGTGTGTGTGTGTGTGTGTGTGTGTGTGTATACATATATATACACACATATATATGTATATACATATGATCTACCAAAGTGAAATCAAGACCAGATAAACAATGTAAACAGACCTACAACCTCTCGTGAAATAGAAGCAGTCACTAAAAGTCCCTCACTAAAAAAGACCAGAGCCATATAGTTTAGCATGAGATTTTACCAACTTTCAAAAAAGATTTAATTTCAGTATGCTTCAAATTATTCCACAAAATAGAAAGAGGAGAAACTTTGCTCAATTCTTTTTATGAGATTATAGTTACCTTGATATGTAAACCACATATAGACTCAACAAAAAAAGAGAATTACAGAACAATTACCCTGATGAACATCACTGCAAAGGTTATCAGTTAGATATTTGCAAACCAAATCCAAGAACACATTAAAAAGACCATCCACCATGATCAAGTAGCCTTCATCCCAGAGGTATAGGGATGGATCAGCATACATAAATAAAGGTAACCCACTATATAAAAGAAAAACCCAAGAGATCATCTCATTAGATGCAGAAAGGAGCTTTGATGAAATTCAATACTCCTTCATGATAAAAGTCCTGGAAAGACAAGAAAGGGATTCAAGAAATATACTTCAAAATAATAGAACCAATTTATAGTAACTCCACAGCCAATATTAACTCCAGGGAAAAGAAAATAAAAGCATTTCCACTGAAATCAGGAACAAGATAACTAAGTTTATCTCCATATTTATTCAACATAGTTCTTAGCTACAACAGTAAGATGGCTGGAGGAAATCAAGAGAACACAAATAAGAAGGGAAGGAGCCATTGTATTTCTATTTGCAGATGATAAGATAGTATACATAAGTGACCCTAAAACTTCCACCAGCAAACTCCTACAGCTGATAAACACTTTTATCAGAGTAGCAGGGTACAAAATCGATTCACAAACCCAGTAGTCTTCCTATACACAAAAGAAAAACAGACTGGAAAGAAATGAGGAAAACAGTACCTTTCAAAGTAGCTTCAGAAAACATAAAATATATTGGAACACCTCTAACTAGGAAAGTGAAAAGAATTGTATAATAAAAACTTTAAGACACTGAAGAAATTAAGGAATGCATCAGAAGATGGGAAGATCTCCATAAATAGGTAGGATTACTATAGTAAAAATGATGATTTTTAACAAAAACAGATTCAATACAATCCCCATTCAAATTTCAGCACAATTCTTCACAGAACTTAAAAGGACAATTTTCAGCTTCATATGGAAACACAGAAAGCCCAGGAGAGATTTAAACAAACAAACAAACAAAAAACTCCTGAATAATAAAAATAACTGCTGGAGGTATCACCACCCCTAATTGCAAACTGTAGTACAGAGCTATAGGAGTAAAAACAACATGGTATTGGCATAAAAACATACACATTGATCAATGGAATCAAGTTGAGGACCCAGGCACAAATTCACATACCTGCAAACACCTGATTATTTTTGTAAAGAAGCCAGGAATACACACTCAGAAAAAAAGCATCTCCAACAAATGGTGCTAGTCAAATTGAGGACAGCAACATGTAGAAAAATCATAAAAGGTTTGCACTTATCATTCTGCACAATAATTCAATTCCACTCCAAGTGGATCAAAGACCTCAACATAAGGCCAGATACACTGAATCTGATAGAAGAGAAAGTAGGTAATAATCTTGAGCTCATTGGCACGAGAAAAGACTTTCTGAACAGAACACCTTTAGCACCATCAGTAAGATCAACAATAAATAAGCAGGACCACATGAAACTGAAAAGCTTCTGTAAGGCAAAGCACACCATCGTTCAGACAAAGTAGCAGCCTGCAGATTAGGAAATGACTACCTACCCAATAGAGGGATAATATCCAAATTATATTTAAAAACCTAGACATCAAGTAAACAAATAATCCAGTTAAAAAATGAAGTATAGACCTAAATATAAAATTCTCAAAAATACAAAAATGGCTGAGAAGCACTCAAAGACATGTTCAACATCCTTAGTTATCATGGAAGTGCAAATCAAAGCTACTTTGAAATTTACTCATGCACCAGTCAGAATGGATAATAATAGTAATAATAATAAAGACTTCATTCTGGCAAGGATGTGGGGTAAAGAGAACACGCACCCATTGCTGGTAAGAGTGAAAACTTGAATAGCCTCTGTAAAATCAGCATGGCAGTTTCTCAGAAAGTTGGGAATAGATCTACCTCAAGATCCAGCTATACCTCTCTTGGCCACATACCTACCTAATGGATGCTTCATCCTACCACAGAGACATTTACTCAACATTTATGCTGCTTCATCCATAATATCCAGAAATTGGAAACAACCTAGATGCCTGCCAAGGAATAAATAGATAAAGAAAATGTGGTACATTTAAACAATGAAATATTGATCACCTTTTTAAACAATGAAACAAAATTTGCAAATAAATGGATGGAGCTTTAAAAATTATTCTAATTGGTTAACACAGACATAGAAAGAAAAATGATATATATTCAGTTGGAGGTGGGTGTTAGCTGTTATGTCTTGAATAAGTAAGCTACAATCCATATAACCACAGAAGTTTAGTATAGACAAAGGGACTAGGTAGGAGGAATGAATCTCCCTAGGAAGGGGAGTTAGAATAAATAGTTATGGCTGGATAAGGTGGGGGAACTGGAACAGAAGAACCAAGTGAAGATGGATTAAGAAAAGGGGACAAAGGAAAGTATATAGGAAGAAACAACTAAAACTAAGGGCCATTTGAGGGGTCATATGGAAACCTATTAAAATAGAAGCTGGACCAACGTACTTGTGAATTCACAGACTGTGGCAGCATGCACAGAGCCTGCAT